AGATGCTTCAAGAGGCAAGGTCCTCAGAAATTGTTCTGGAATGCTGGTTCACTTGTATCAATGTCATGTTCCTGGATAAGGGAGTAAGACGCAGAATTTTAGTATTTCAGTATGAAATGTGAACTCTGGTGTTTTGCACTTTAAGATTCTGAATCATTAATTGGGACACAGGTAATCTCTGGCTTGAAGGCTGAATCCAGCTGAAGGATCAAGTTTTCACTATCAGGACAGGGCTTTTGACTACTGCCCACCATCCACAAGGAGTGGGGAGCAAATACAGTTGAAGGCACCAATGCAAAGACCACACCAGACTACTTACCTTGGCCCTAGGGGCCTGTCTCTGCCCTGCCAGCAGCGTGAGTACTGTTGAGAACCTACCGGAGCCCCATCCCACATTTCAGTGCTCCAGCAGTTAAATCAACTCCCTTCTGGGTTCCCTTCATGCCATTTATCTCAGAGCACTGTAATTACCCATATAGTATTCCTGTCTCCCCCCACAGCACGTGGCTCAGAAAGAGACAGCAAAGGCCGCATTCATCTTGTTCACTACAACAGCCCCAACATCTAGCACCATGAGTATGAGCAGAGCCAGCCCCTGCCAGTAGAGGATCTAACCTTTCCACTCAGCATCTAAACTCCTAAGCATGTACATACGTATGTATGTATGTAGAATGAATGGATGGCATATATACATATGCACACACCCACATCTATGTATATGAAAAATGGTCTCTTCTCTTTATACTGTTTTATAGCCCTTCCCCCCCGCAACCCCATTTACTATATCCTGAATGTCTTCCAAGTCCTTAAACATTCTTCTAAACATTTTTAATCTTATGGATATACCCTAGGTACTTAACCAGTTCCCTACTGATGAAGATTCTTCTTCTATTAAAACAATGCTACCCTGAGCATCCTGGTTGGTAAATCTATACACGTTCAGGATTATATTACTACGACAAATTCTGAGGATTAGAATTACCGTGTCAAAGGTATATACATTTTGGGGGCTTTTGAACAATATTATAAAACAGATCTCCAGAAAAGTGGGACAAATTTATTCTCCCATCAGTAGTATATAAATGCCCATTTACCAATAGTGGCTGAACATTTAATTTTAGAAATCTCATCAGGAGATAGACAAAATGAAGACCAGGCATAATTTTCAAGTCCTTGGTCCTCAGTCCAGAGAATGATGATTTCCAACATAAGGTGCTGACCACGTGGCGGCTTCTCTAACCTTTGCTCAGGTCTCTCTAACCACACGGGTTGACACCACTGCTATGCCGCAAACATGCCAGGCAAAGCCCAGCCTCAGGGACTTTGCACAGGTCTTCCCTCTGTCTGGGACACTTGTCTCCCAGCTATCTGCATGGCGAAATCCCTCAACACCTTCAGGTCTTTGCTCCAATGTCACCTTTGTAGTGAGACCTACCCTAACCACCCTCCCTATTTAATACTGCCACATTCAGCACACTTGATCCCTGCCCTACCTTTTTTATACCATCATCTTGTAGCATACTATGTTTAGTTTACTGTCTAGCTCCTCCAGCTAGAACAGAAGTTCCATAAGTGCAGGGATCGTTGTCTGTTTTGTTTACTTAGTAGATGCTTAATAAATCCTTGTGGAATGAATGAACAAAACACGAGAAGTCCAGTTTAGGGAAGATACCAGTACTCGAAGGGCTCCCACTTCAGTGGGATTTCTAGGCTCTACCTGGTTCAATTTCTTGAACTCCACCACTTGGAAGAAGATGTGCTCAAGGATATGTTTGGCATCTTGTTGGTCCTTTGGTAGTTTATTGGTTACT